AAGTAATTATTGAAGTTAACTCAGAAAGATCAATTGGAGAAAAAGAGTCTAACTTAACATCAATGGTACTAAGAGTAGCTGTAGATAATATTACATCTGTGGGATACCGCTGATGTGACTGAAGACGAGTCTGTCTGCAGCCAACTGCCCCTATGGCCTTAATAAATGTGTCCCACAGTCTCCTGAGAGAGTGAGTCAGGTTTACAGTGTGACAGAAGAAGGTTACTGACCTTGGTTTGTGGTGCAGCTCAGCAGTGAGATCAGAACTAAAGAGAAATTAAACTCAGGTTAGTTCAGACTAGAGCTGTATGTGGGAGTATTTCTAATCCCACTCCTGCAATATTTGTGTTTAATCCTGGCCACACCCACAGACTCACTGCTATTCATAATTTTCACGTGATGTTAGAGCTATTGTGACACGCCACCTTGAGGGCAAAAACTATAGTGGGTCCTTTGCCCTCCATTAATTCGAGTTTAACTAAAGTGCCAGATGTTTGCTGTGCTCTCCGATGCACTAATCAGTGTTTATTTACAGCTGAAGAATGTAGAGTATGGCACCAACATGTGAGCACACCTCTCCTAACCCTGCCTTACAGACCAAATCACACCAATGCCTGCTTCTCCATAGCAACACATACTGTTAGTTATGACAGAGTAGGGCAAGAAAACCAGAAACCAGAACTTTTCTGGCCCTACTCTGTAAACGTTCAAGTCAACAAAAAGTAAGGTTTGCATGCAATAGGTAGAGCTTACATTTGCTTTAATGATAAACAATAAACAGATTGATCCAGATTGAAACTACACTTAGCTGTCCGTACTATGAAAGCTTATATCTTTTTATCACAGCCCCAGAAATTTATAGTTTCTCTTCATATCTTTGTTTTTCTTCCATGGATAGGTGATCCAAGTAGTTTTGGCTCAGGACAGGTGATAAAGAAAAAGACTGCAGTACTGCTGACTGTCACAATGAAGTAATGTTTTGCACAACGGTGGTGAGTTGGTCATGTGACTGAAAATGAATACTGTATGATGAAATATGTATATATGCATTGAATTGTGCTATTTCATCAGAATAAGAACAGAATAAATACAAAAAAATTCAACAAAAATCTCAGCTTTGAATTAAAAACAGAAGCAAACCCTGAGACACAGTTCAAAGAAATACATTCAAACTTGCTAAACATAGTGGTTCTTGGGACCCACTGTCCCTATTTTTGGGCTCCTCCTCCTCCTTAAAACAGCCCATAGGATCTCCATCTCAGTCAAAGACAGCAGAGGCATGAAAAACACAGAGTGAACTTACAGAGCAGACACAGCAGAGACGTTTCCTCCATCTTACTGCTCACTGATATCAGACCAACACTGATATCAATTCACTGTCACTTCAAGTAAAACATTGCTCCTCCTCTTCATCTTCTTCCTCCTTCTGTTTGACCTGGTGTCAACATTCTTGTTTTCCTAAAACTCTACAAAAGCAGAACCTTTGTGATGCCTTCACGTACACTTCAAATAAGTCAGAGGGATGTGTTTCTGCTCTTTTTTTCACAGATAAACTGAACTTAATGACTGCATTACTGAAAATATTTTATTTCTTTATCAATCCTGTTTCATATTGACGGACACAAGATTCATTTTCCTGTAGACTGCAAAAAGTGTTTTTGTCATTACCTCACAAAGCAGCTGTAGCTCTCTTCACGACAACGCAGACATAGGTCGGTTCTTTGAAACGGGCGTTTATTACTTGGGCTTTCTGTCCTCAGCTTCACCATCACCAGTATGCCGATACGCCACTACATCAATACGCCGTGAGAACTGGTCAACAGTACAAACCAATTAGCAATGTTACAGTACACATATTAAGTCCAAACACAAATAAAAACATTTCTCAAATGACAAATACCTCATTGACTGCTTGTCCTGAAAAGAGGTCCTTAAGTCCTTGTGTTGCTTTTTCTTTTAGTAAACTTTTAGCTTAACAGGCTTCATGAGAGACATCTGCTCCCTTGCAGTCCATAAAAAGTCTTGTGTACTCTCCTTAAGGGTATTCTCACGAGACACTAGCTCTTGCACTGTACACATGCGCATTTCAAATAAAGACATTTTAACACAAACTATATACATATTCATGAAATTATGTAACTTATTATAAATCAGTCATCCACATCATGAAATCTACACAGAACATTTTACCAGCATTTACAGCAGCAACTTGCAGAGCTGTAAACTGAAGCCTGCACCTAAGTGCCAAAACTTGCAGTTCCTCTCATGTCCACTAGAAGCTGTCTCTAAAAGTTGTTCAATCTGCATGCTAAGCAACTAAGCTTGGCACCGTGAGCTCATAATTTACCACCCACCCCTGTCCAAATATGGTCACTTCTGCTTTCAAACAAAAAAAACAACAACGTGGTGACATCATTGATGCTAAAATGTGGAGACCAAAACCAGATAGTGTCATCACACATGCTGCATCCATCTTTAAAATGTTTGTGGACCTTAACAGACGGGTCATGACAGATTTTAGGAACCTTCAGGATTCGGATCAGGCAGTTTAGATCCATTCATCTTACTCTCTGCTCCAGGTTTTTGCAGCATCACAGGTAGAAGGATCCTGATACGAGTGTCCTCAGTTGGGGTCTCTCTGTGGACATGCCATGCTCTCCACTTTCAGTCTCCATGTCTGAGTGGGTTTTCTATAGATACTATGCAAATACAAAGATGTCTTTTCTGTGCCAGTTTTAC